AGCAAGTTAAGGTTCTTTATCTCTGCTTTGGGGACCTCTTTGAACCCTATCTAGGGACATCAAACTTGTGACCTTCCTGCTTCAGCCTCATAAAGTGTGGAATTATGGGCATGTGTCACCACATCCAGCTCCTTGAGACATTTTTAGAAAAGCAAGAATATACAAGCATGCATTCCATCAACCACTGGAACAGTGATCTCATCAAAAGCCGTGGAAGCCGGGCCTGGTGGTGCATGCCTGTAATCCCTGTAAGCACTTGGGAAGCTGAGGCAGGAGGATCGGGGTGAGTTTGAGGCCAGACTGAACTACATGGTGAGACCTTGTCTCGAACAAAACGAAACTCATAGAACTTCTGAAACACGTATGTGGGAATGAAAGGAAAAGGCAAAAGGCTTTTGGAAATCTTTTATGAAAAGAGTTTTGACCTTGTGGACACTTAAAGTTCCCCCCACTATACTTTGAGAACCACTTCCTAACATAATTGTTGTCAAAATAACAAGCTATATAGCGTCTCTATATCATCAGTAAGAATTCAGCCCATATTTAAATGTCTTTGGTTATTCCAGGAGGAATTTATTAACGCCTTTTAAGGAACCAGGACCCAATCAAGTTTCCTGGCATTTGGTTACTATTGGTATTTAGTTTCTTCTGCAGGACAATTTCATACCCTTTTTGCTTTATGATGTTGAGTTTTTTTGTGTGTGGTGCTAGGGATTGAACCCCTGACCTTCAGGGGAACTATATCCCCAGCCCCCTTTTATTTTGAGATAGGGTCTTACTATGATGCAAATTTGCCCAAGCTGGGCTTGAATTTGCAAGCCTCCTGCCTCAGCCTCCCACAGTGCTGGGATCATAGGTGTGTGCCACCAAGCCCTGTGACATCTGGCTTCCTGGCTTGTGTTATAGCATGTCCTACATTGTGGATGTATTTGATAGTTTCTTTCCGCTATCATTCAATTTCTTCTAAAATTTCTGTTTCCTGCAAATGGAAGTAGACTGGATTGTTTTGCCTTGGTATTGCGCTAAACTCTGTGGGTGAATTTGCTCAGCATTTCTCTCAAAGGTCTTTAGCATTGAACATTGTACCCCACTTGCATTTGCAGGGAGGAAGATTCTCCCAGCTGGGAGCAAGGTAACTGGGACTTGAACTTGGGCAGACAGACTTCAGGGACTTGCTGTGAACCGCCCACATTTCCAGCCCCCAGGTGACAGAGGGTGGTTTAAACAGATGGTCCTGCTGTGGGGTTGATAGGCACTACACCTGTCCCCAAATTAATCTCCTTTCCTCAGCATCCCGGGCCTCAGAGCTCTGCATGGTTGTTTTGCTCTCCACCCTGTCTCTGAGCATGAGGTGCCACCTGACAACTCTTAATTCAGGCCTGGCATGCAGAGACCACAAGTTTCAGAGCCCTCAGAGGTGGGGCAGACTGGGCAGCCATTTCCTGCCTTGGGACTCAGAGCTATGTAATCTCTCTGGGCCTCTGTATCCCCATCTGGAAAGTGGGTACAGTCCTAGTATCAGGATTAAATGAGTGCAGTCCTGAAAGGTTGTTAGAGCACTTGCTGGCACACAGTTGGTTCCAGGCAGAAGAAATCTGACCTTGACACTATTGTGGTTTTACTTTCACAGAGTGATGTATACTCTTTCCTCCTACTTGTGTTGTAAAATGTTACTCAAGTGTTTTGTTTTTGTTGTTGTTTTCTTCTTGTTTTGTTTTTGGTTATTTATATATTTTGTCTTTTTGAGACAGGGTCTCAATATGCAGTTCAGGCTGGCCTTGAGCTCACTTCCTATCCCAGGCTGGTCTCAAATTTGTAGAGATCCTCCTGCCTCAGCCTCTCCCAAGCGCTGGGATTATGGGCATACACCACCACACCTAGCCTTGTTTATGATTTTTTTGAGACAAGGTCTTACTTTCTGGCGCAGGGTAGCCTCAAACCAAAGATCTTCCTGATTTTGTAGTTCAGGCTAGACTTGTATTTACTGTGTAGCCCAGGCTGGCCTCAAATTTGGCTCAGTGCTCAGGCTTCAGCCTCCCAAACGTTGGGATTACAGGCTTGCACCACCACGCCTGGCGTCTTCTGTTGTTGAAACCGAAAATACACATTTTGGACATTGCACCTGAGTTTTAAGGTCACACTGTGAATTTAGTCTTATAGTAAAGCACCAAACAATAGTTCTGTGGCCCTCGGGCGGGCTTCACTGTGTCTCTGCTGACAGATGGACCTTGTTGAACCTTCATAACTGTGCGGTGAGGTTGGAATTGTTTTCCCCGTTTTATCGATAAGGCAAGTGTTGTACCTGGAAATCGTATGAGCAACGGGTTGAGCTAGGATTCAAAACCAGCAAGATTTTCTTTTTTCATCTTTTTAGGCAGGGCTTTGCTGTGTAGTTTAGGCTGGTCTTGAATTCACTATGTAGGCCTTGAATTCATGGCGGTCCTCCTGCCTCAGCCTTCCAAGTGCTAGAATTTTAGGTATGTGCCACCTTGCCCAGCCAGAACCCAGGAGGCTTTGAAATTCTACTAGATGGGTGGTTTTAAAATTTTAAAACATTATTCTTATTTTTATTATACAGCACTTAGTATATTCTGAGCATTTTTCTAGGTGCTTTACGTACATGAACTAGTTTATATTGGTCCTATGAGCTGGCTCTAATCATTAACTCCATTTTACAATGGACAGGTCCAGTGATGTGGAGTAACTTGTCTGAGGTCACACACAGCTTTTTTTTTTTTTGTCTTTTTCCTTTTTATTGGTACCAGGGATCGAACTCACGACTGCCTGCTTGCAAGACAGGCACTTATGCCGCTGAGCTAAATCCCCAACCCCCCACACACAGCTTTTTAAAGACCTAAGATTAGCTTGGGAGGCTGAGGCAGAAGAATTATTTGCAAGTTGGAGACTATCCTGGGCTACAGAGTGAGCCCAAGACCAGCCTGAACTGCATGGTGAGACCCTGTCTCAAAAGGTAAAAAACAGAAGAAAAAAAAAAAAAGACCTAATATTAGGCTTAGACCACCTGACTCCAGAGCTTGATTTTTTAAAAACTGTTCAATTCCATTTAGATAACATGCAAAGTAATGTATAGGAACAGAAAATAGGTCAGGGGTTGCCTGGGGTGGGGTGGCAGAAGTCTGGATTAGAAAAGAACACAAGAGCCAGGCATGGTGGCACATGCCTGTGATCCCAGTACTTGGGTGGCTGAGGCAGGAGGATCACCATGAGCTCAAGACCTGCCAGGACTACAGGAGGAGTTCACTGTAAAGTGAGACCCTGTCTCAGAAAAGTCAAAGAATTTCAGGAAGGAGCACACGGAAACTTTGGTAGCTGGTGGAAGTATTTTTCATCTAATCGTGATAATAGTTTCATGGGAGCACTTTTAAAAATATGTAAAAGAATGCCAGGCATGGAGAGGCTTGCCTGTAATTCCTGCTACTTAGGAGGCTGAGGCAGGAGGATTGCAAATTGAAGGTCGCCGTGGGCAATGTGACAAGACCATGTCTCAAAATAAATAAGAAGGGCTAAGGATGTAGCTCAGTGGCAGAGTGCTTGGCTAACAGACACAAGGCCTGGGTTCAATCCCCAGTACTAGGAGGGAGAAAGGGTATAATCCTAGCACCCCGGGAAATTGAAGCAGGAGGATTTCAAGTTTAGGTCCAGCCTGGGCAACTTAGTGACTCAGTGTGACTGTCTCAAAATAAGAAAAAGCGTTGGGGATATAGCTCAGTATCAGGCTCTGGGTTCAAGCAGAACCAGAAAAATAGGAAATCATCAGACCCATGGGTTGAATTCACCTAAATACTTAGAGAACAATAATTTCAGAACTATTGAAAGCATTGTGAATTCCTGTTATGAAAACATTATACAGTAGCCAGGTGTGGTGGTGCAAGCCTGTAATTGTAGCACTCAGGAGGCTGAGGCAGGAGGATCGCCAGAGTTCAAGGTTCAGCCACCCCCCAGTAGTGCCACGAAGTGGGGTCTGAGCTTTTGGGGGATATTTCAGATCTGAAGCTCAAAACATTGGGCTTATTCCATTTAGGGAAACTAGAGCCAGGTAGGACAGTGAGAAACAGAGGCCTGTGACGGCTAAGGTGATGATAAGCCTTCCCTTAGGTGGGGTCCCGCCACGCCCCATCCACTCCTGCTCTCGAAGCCCCTGAACGTTGTGTTTGTTGCTTCTTTTTTCCTTCCTCCTCTCCCCTTCCCCACCCTCATTCCCTCCTCCCTCCCCTCCCCCTCCTCTCTCCTCCACCCTCCTCATGCCTAGCTCCCCCTACTGCTGCTGCTGCTGGGTGTGGAACCTAGGTGTCTCGCATGCCAGGCATGTGCTCCCTCAGCTACAACCCAGCTTTTCGCCACCATCTCTTGCCTTTTCTTTAAAAACCACAAAAAAAAAAAAAAAAAAAAAAAAGCCTGGCAACACCTGTACTCTCCGTGACTCGGGGACCTGAGGCAGAAAGCATCCCAACTTCAAAGCCAGACAATGTAGCCATGCCGGGTCTCAAAGCCCAAAAGGGCAGGCGTTGCGGCTCAGGGCTAGAGCGCCCCTGGGTTTACTCCCCAGTACTGCAGAGGGGCAGGCGCGCGCGCACACGTGCACGCACACACGCACGCACGCACGCACGCACGCTCCGCGGTGCTGCCAGGGGTGCCGCAGAGCAAGGCTCGGTGTGTGCTAAGCACGAGCTCTGCCGCCGAGTTGCAGCCCCAGCTCTTTCATTTTTATATTAACGTGCTTCAGATTGTCCTCATTTTACAAGAGCCGTTGCTGTGCGAAGCAGATTGCTTATCGTGGTCTCTAACAGGCATTACAAATGTTGTGTCCAGCTTATTGATTCCCGTTCATCGTGGTGGTGCTGCTGCGTGGAGACTTTGAGCCGATTTTAAGCCAAAGCGAGCTCTTCATCTAGATGGGACCCTGGGCTAGGTGAGCCTTCGGGGTTAGGGACCTTGAAGCTCGTTGGTTGGTGACTGTCTCTGCTCTCCACTCCTGCCAGGCCTTGGAGACCCGGGCCAGCCCTGGCCACACCCCGGGCTGTGTCACCTTTGTCCTGAATGACCACAGCATGGCGTTCACTGGAGATGCCCTGCTGATCCGAGGCTGTGGGCGAACGGACTTCCAGCAAGGTGACTCTGCCTTTACCTAGCCCCAGGCCTTAGTGTGTACCCGGGTGTTCAGTGTCAGTGACAGGAATGAGTAGATGGACTTGAGGTTTTCAGGGCTCAGTGTTAGATTTAAAGGATGAAGTGTGCGAGGGATTTGATTTCTGTGGCCCACTCTTAGGGGATGGCTACATTCGTGGGTATGCTAGTTGTCTATTGCTGTGTAACAAATCACCCCCAAACCTAGTGACATAAACTAAACATTGATTTATGCTTGCTGTCTCAGTGTTTCTGAGGGTTGGGGATCTGGAATTAGCTTAGCTGGTGGCTCTGTCCATTTTCCTGTCCCAGGAGCTTCTTGGGCTTCCAGGGTAGTGGTGCACTACACCCCTGCTTCAGCTCATCCCAATTTCCAGAGTGCCTGTTATACTGGTGACCTCAGTCCTTCACACATGCTGTTCCACCTGTCTAGAATGCCCTTCCCTTTGCCCATCTACAGGCAGGTAGGAGGAAGTTAGCTATAGGGGTCTCCTTTTCCCATTCATTTGCTGGAGGAAGAAGTCAGGGGCTTCTGCTGTCCTGTGAACCACTAACCTCTGAGCTTTCCTTCTCCAGGCTGTGCCAAGACCTTGTACCACTCAGTTCACAAAAAGATCTTCACGCTTCCAGGAGAGTGTCTGGTCTACCCGGCTCACGATTACCACGGTGAGGCCTTGCTGGAGGAGTTGTGGGGTTTCCATTGCTTGTGAGAGCAAACTCCTGTAATCCTCGCTGGGTGTGGAGACCACAAGTTCCAGAAATTCCTCAGGCTGAAAAGGTTCGGTGCTGGGTGCACAGTGTGTGGCTGTAGCAACTATAGCTCCTGGTGCTCCCCAGGACCTCGATTTCCCTGGGGTCCCTTAGCAACTCAGGGAACTACATTTCCCAAAGGGCCCACAGATAGGAGAAGAAAGATTCAGGAGCATTCTGGGAAAGCCCGTTAGTTCCGGGCCAGGGAGGTACCCCAGGAGGTCATTCTAAGAGCCCAAGGTACTGGGCCCCTTGACCTTCCTTGCCCTCCTTCGGCTGTTAGGGCTTACAGTGTCCACTGTGGAGGAGGAGCGGACTTTGAACCCTCGGCTCACCCTCAGCTGTGAGGAATTTGTCAAGTTGATGGACAACCTGAACTTGCCCAAACCTCAGCAGATAGGTGAGTATCTGGGGAACCCAACTCCTTGGTCTCAGAGAACAGGGCTGGGGCTGGACCCTCGGGCCTGATGGGGGAGGCTGGGCTGGGACCCCCGGGTCTGAGGGAGGAGGTCAGGCCTAGACCCCTGGAGCTGAGGAAAAATGGGCTCAGGACTAGAACTGTGATTCCACAGAGAAGAGCTTTTCTTGATCCTGAGTCCTCATCAGGACAGGGATGTGCTAGGCCTTAGTTCTGTGCATGGTTTTCTTTTTCAGATGTTGCTGTTCCAGCCAACATGCGCTGTGGGGTCCAGACCCTGCCTTCCTGACATGTCCTGTCAGGTGTTCCTCTCTGTCGTCAAGAATGCACTGGATGGAGGGGGGAGGGGGGCTGCCTTCCTGCACCTGCCTCCTTTCCCACCCCACCCCACAAGCTCCTCAAGTTTCTTAAGTAAAACATTTGTTTTGCTCTGTGATTTTGACTTCCGCCTGTTTTCTGGAAGGAACCTTCGGGTTGCAGTGCCTAGGTCAGCTCTGGTGCCTTGGATTGGCTGGGATGCTGGGCAGGATGAGGGCCCAGGGGGCTGACATGGTTGAGACCCTAACTCACAAGATAGGAGTAACCATAGAATTCAGGGCAGGTGTTCTTAGGATCTCAGCTAGAACCGGGTCTTGCCTTTGAACCACTTGGAGTACCATGGTAAGTTAATTACCTCTCCAGTCCTCAGTTTCCTGATCTGTAAAACGGGAGTAATAGTAATAGCATCCCAAGATGATCTGATAAGTCCCTGCTGCTGATCCTATCAGAGCTCACTATTATGCTATCATCTGGAATCTCTGAGGCACTTCCTGGCTTGCTGTGACAGTTTGCATAATGGTTAATCACATGGATTTTGAGAGCAGGAAGCTGGTGTTACATTTACAATGTGTAGATCTGGGGTATATTTGTACCTCCAGCTTCAGTGCCCCAAAGATAAAGTGGAGCCAGCCTTTGCTTCTGGGTGGTCTGCTGTGAGGATTAGACTAAAGTCTAGTGTTCAGCACTGGAGAGGAAACCAGGGAGCGCTACCACTTAGCTGCAGGCTCAGCCTTTTAAAAAATTTTTCTTATTTTGAGACAGGGTCTTGCTGAGTGTCTTAAGTTGCCCAGGCTCTGCTTAAACTTGCCATCCTCCTGCCTCAGCCTCCCAGAGCCCTGGGATTACAGGTATAAACTACCATGCCTGACTTTTTTGTTTAGAGAGTTTTAGACAGCTAAATTAGATAAAGAATATTACAGGCAGTCAGAGATGGCTAGGCCAGAAGACCAGATACCTGGCAACTGTATGGAGACTATATACCACCCGCTGTGGGCCAGTCCTCAAGACAAAAGATAAATCGGGGATTGATCCTGATTTACTCAATTCACCTAAGCAATTACACTCTACACTCCTGACCGTAGTGCTGTCCCACTTCATGCCCACTTTGTGATTTGCCATTTGGACCCCACCTTGGACCCACCTCCCATTGAGGATTTGTGCTATAAAAATCCCTAGAAAAGGCAGATTCTTGGGAACCCACTCAAGACCTGTTTTATCTCTCTCTCAAACAGAAGCCTTTTTTCCCTTAATATATTTAGCTGTTAACCTCCGTTGTTCCTCAAATGCATTCTTTGATTTTAGAGAACACCAGCTCCTACCAGACTTCTAGCAGGTTGGGAGTTTCTTTCCTCTGTATCAGGAGGATCTAAGTTGCCCAAGTAGGGCTAGAACCTCCAATCCTTTGGCCCCAGGCCCCAAGTGCTGGGATTACAGGTGTGCACCCCTTGGCAGGGCTCTCTTCCTACAGCTTCCAGGTCTGGCAGTCCTGTTTCACATACCCTAGGTTGTTTTCCTGTTTTTGCCCAGAGAGGAAAGGGTCTGGCTGAGAGTTTTATCCTCTGGCCTTCACCCCATGACGAAGTGTGTGGGGGGCGGGGGGGGCACTTCCCTCTGTTTCAGGGCTGGTCATTGACTCACTTCAGGGCACCCCCTGCCCCTGTCCAGCTCCTTAAACCGGTCAGGGCCCTTCTAAAGGGGTTATTACAAGGGAGGGGCCCCATCTCCATTCCTATCTTCCTTTGAGGACTCAGGATCTAGAGGCCGGCACGCAGAGGTGGCCAAGCGCCTGGCCCTCCCGGGGACAGGCGTGGGTGCGCCAGCCAGGGGCAGAGTGGGAGGTCGCGACGCTGGGTCCCGCGAGGGTGGAGCCGGTGGAGCCAGGAGGGCCCGGTGCCGCGGCCGCGGGCGGGGCGAGCTGGTCACTCCCTGCTCCCGTGAGAGCCGTCGGACCTGTTGTCCCCCCTCCACTTCCGGCTGCTGGGGAGGGGGACTGGGCGGCTTTGCTCCTCGCTCTTCCCGGCCACCTGTCTCACAGCAGAAGCCACAGAGCCCGGGGCGCCGAGCGGCGCTGGTGAGCGGAGGCTGCGGGAGGAGGGGGTGCAGACGCGGCCTGGGGCGGCGGGGGCGGAGCTGGGAATCGGCTCCCGGGAGGGACGGACTCAGGCTCGGGCTTGTCCGGAGAGCGGAGTGCTGGGAGCCCGGACTCCTGGATCCCGGGGTGAGGCGGCGTGGGTGGGGCCGAGACTGTGGGGCTCCGGGGGTAAGGGGTGAGTCAGGAAGGACGAGGGGTGCAGCTCGGGGAACCCGGGAGGTCTAGGGGGCGCTCGGGGAACGGCGAGGACACCTGGAGAACAAGGAGGCCTCGGGGCGTAGAGCCTCGGCGGGGCGAGCGAGGACCCCCGCCTCAAATTCCGGCCCGCCCCCGGGGGCGTGGCACCTAACTTCGCCACAACTCCGTGCCCCGCCCCCGGAGCCTCGGGCCACGCCCCCCGGGCGCTCCGCGCCAGCCTTTGAACTCCGAGGCCCCGCCCCCACGCCGCCGGGTCCTGCCCCCAGCCCACGACCACGCCCACCCCCAGCAGCCCGCAGCGGTCATGGGCACTCCGTGCAGCCCGGAGGAGGGTTCTCAGTCGCCTGGGGTCCCGGCATGCGACGCAGAGGTCCAGCCCGAAGGGGCTGTCCAGCCGCAGGGACGCACCAAGAAGCCCAGCGAGCGGGAGGCTGCAGAGGCGCTTCGGAGCGGCCGAGGAACTGAGCAGCAGCTGGCCGAGGAAGAGGAAGAAGGAGGCGAAGGCAGCAGCACTGAGAGCACTCGCGACGAGGTGAGGACCCGCGGGCGACAGCCACGGGAGACGCAGACAGACGGGGGCTCGAACAGGTGGCCAGACAGAGCGACAGGCAGAGACCAGGGGCAGGGAGAGGCTGAGAGGGACAGAGGCAGCAAGCTGGTAGAGGATGGGAGGCCCAGAGACAGAGGTGGACTCAAAGGTGGCCAGACCCAGCGTCCCAGGTGATGCCCAGACAGCTGACACGCAGAGGCCAGAGACCTAGAGACAGAGACTGAGAAGAGACAGAGAGGAGAGAATCAGAGATTGAGAGAGGTGAGGCTAAAAGGGAACCCAAAATCAAAGGGCAGAGATACTCAGAGAAACAGGAATAGGGGCCCAGAAGGAGAAAAGAAAAAGAGACAGAAAAAATGAAAAAGAAAACCAAACAAGGACACAGAAGTCTTTTTCTTTCTTTGAGACACGATATCTCACTACATATTTCAGGCTGGTCTTGAACTCACTATGTAGCCTGGGCTGATCTCCAACTCCTGGGGATCCTCCTGCCTCAGCCTCCAGAGTGCCGGGATTCAGGTCTGAGCTACCACGCCCGTTTAGGACAAGGCATTCTTGACACTTGCAGGGAAGAAAGAGACCTAGAGATTCAGAGAGATGAAGTTAGAGACAGAAAGCCGAATACAAAAGGCAAAGATACTCAGAGAAACGAATAGGGACACAGGAGAAGAGGGGCACACATTTTGAGAAATACTTCAAGAAAGACCTAGCAATTCAGAAGCAGAGGACAGAAGCCCAGAGAAACTGGAGAAGAGACAGAGAGACCTGAGTCAGAGCGGGAGACCAGGGATGACACGAGACTGACACCGAGAGAATGAGACATGGACGGAGAAGGCGACCCTGCCAGCCGGGTGAGGTGGTCAGCAGGCCACACCCTGCCCCACCTCGGCCTTAAATCTCGGGCTTGGTGGTTAGAGTTGGGCCCATTCTGTACCCTCAGGGGTGTGAGGAGCAGGACCAGATTTGTTTAGTGACTTCGGGAGCCACTTTTCAGCCCCAATTTCACGCCCCCGGTACAGATGTCGGCCACGGCCCCGGCTCACAGCCCGGCGGGGGAAGGGATGCGCGAGGCGGCGCGGCGGCTGCGAGGGCTGCAGCTGGAGGCGCTGACTCGCGTGGCCCTGATGGAGCAGCGCCTGAAGGAGCTGCAGCGCCAGAAGAAGGAGCTGAGGATCGAGGTGAGGCTGCAGGCCACTCAGAGTCAGCCCCGCAAGCCAGGCTCCCAGCCCTTCCCTCCCACGGAGTGGGATTCTGGGTGCCCGGCCCATCCTCTGCAAACCCAGATGCGAGTCTCTGACCGCCCTCCCTCGGAATGCATGAGTTCAAGCCTCTGGACTCCACGTCTTGCTTCTGTCCCGGCAGGTGGAGGTGGAGGTGGCCCTGCGGCGGGGCGAGCTGGCCGGGGAGCGAGTAGCAGCCCGGCGGGAGGAGGAGCAGCTCCGGGAGCTGCTGGGGCGGCGGACAGACGCCGAGAAGGGCCGCGAGCAGCGGAAACAGGTTGGTCTGACGCTGCCTCTGCATCCCTCTCCTCCCGGCCAAACCGGCATTCCGGGCCGCGCTCCAGGCGACTGGGGCCCGGGCTGCCCTCCCTGCCCGGGTGGGGGCGCTCGTGCTGCGGAGAGCTGAGAGCCACCGTCTTAGCTTGTTTGGAAATCGTATTGTCTGTCCATGTTTTAGCGTGTTACTACTTACAAATAAGAACTTTTGTCTAATCTTCTTTTCTTGAGACAGGGTCAAAGTCTGCCCAACTTTGCTGGGCTCAAACTTTCCATCTTCCTGCCTCAGCCTCCTCAATAGATAAGATTACAGGCATGTGCCACCGCCACAGCCCTCATTATCTCGCTTTAAGAATTAGTAAATTCTAAGCAGTTTCTCGTTTCTAGTCCATTGTCATATTTCCCAGGTTTTCTCCAAAGTACCAGTTAGCAGGTGACTTGTTTGAATCAGGTCATGGAAAGCCGGTGAGTTGTGCTGGGTCAGTTTGACAGTTGTGCTCCTGTTGGTTTGTCTGCCTCTGGTGGTTTTCACGCGCTCTGTCCTCATACTGTTTGTTGGAGAAACCAAATCTCTGAAGCAGGATGTGGCTGATTGCCTGGCTGTGGAGACCGGCAATGGCCTCTGTCTCTACATGTGGTGGCAGGCTCAATCTGATGTGCTTAGCCCTCCCTCAGAGAGTACTGGGGACATTGTCTCTGAACATTCAGGTCACTTCCTCTTAAGAACCCTGGTCTAAAGATTTTAGTATCTACTCATGAGCCAAGCTTGTAGGTTATCATTATAGGTTGGCAAATGGTAACTTTGTAATTCAATCAATCTTTCTCTTGGCAAACTGGAAGGGATAGAATTTCCTGGACTTGGTTGCAAGTTCTCATTTACAAAAAGCCTGAGTGCTATATGCCCTGGGTCCTCTGATTCTGGCCCCTAGGCCAGGCTCCCAGCCCTTCCCTCCCACGGAGTGGGATTCTGGGTGCCCAGCTCCATCCTCTGCAAACCTAGATGGCAAATCTCTGACTGCCCTTGGAATGCACGAATTCAAGCCTCTGGACTCTGCTTCTTGCTTCCTCCCAGCAGGTGGAGGTGGAGGTGGCCCTGCAGCGGGGAAGCTGGCCAGGAGTAAGTAGCAGCCTGGCTGGAGGAGGAGCTCAATCTGATGTTCTTAGCCCTTCCTTCCTCCTCTGCACTGAAAAGTCTGTGCCCCTGGCCCTCCCTGATTTCTGAGGCTTCACTTAAATAACCCCACATGCAGGAAGCCTTGGATTACTCCAGTAGAAATGATTCCCAGCTCCAGGCTCCCACTTTCTGTGTGTTTTGGGACCGTGAATGTCCTGGGTATTAACTGGCTTTGTTGTCTCCAGCAGGTCATTCTCCACCCCAAACTCCCGGCCAAACAGGGCCTCTATCTGACCCACTTTTGGGAACATAGTGTCACCCACCATGTTACTTTGATAGTAACTCCTTCGCTCATTTCCTTCCTTTTCCTTCTTCTTTTTTTTTTTTTTTTTTTTGAATAGTGTATGCTGGCCTTAAACTCACCAACCTAAGCTGGCCTCAGCCTGGGGGTGATCCTCCTGCCTGAGCCTCCCGCGTGCTGGAATTACAGGCACGCACCACCACGCCTGGCTTCCTTCATTCAGTTCTCAAAAGCCTGTTTACATGCTGTCGATCTGGGCTAGGTCTGTAATGAGCGAACCAGGGAAGGAGTGTTCCTGCCTTCCACGAGCTGACGCCCCGGGCTGGCCTGGCCCTTCAGACTGAGCTTGGGCTGAGGCTGAGAGCCTGCTTGTTATTTTAGGAGCAGCATCGACTGTGCCAGGAGCGGAAACGGGTGGAAAGTCTTCGCCAGAGTCTCAGAGAGGCCCAAGGGCAGCTCAGCTTGCAGCCCGAGGACCAACATGAGCGACTTCTGCAGCAGGTGCAGGAGGTGAGAGACCTTGGCCTCCTCTTCAGTGATCTGATGTCCGGCTCCCCCCAGGGGCCCATCAGTCCCAGAAGCCCAGATCCCAGCTCTCCTCTCTTTGACTGAGGAGTTCTGGCTCCAGGCTGCTGCTGCCCTAGGCCATGGGGTCCAGGTCTCCAGCCTTTGGTGTTCCCTCCCATAGCTAAGTGAACAACTGGAGGTGGCCCAGCGGGCCTATGAGGACCTGGAATTCCAGCAGCTAGAGCAGGAGAGTCGGCAGGAGGAAGAGGATCTAGAGAGCCCTGGGGCCCAGGCCCCAGACCCCAGGGTCCAGGAGCTTCAGGCCAGTGTGGCCCAGCACAAGGTGAGCACCAGCACATTAGCCCTCTGTCCGCCATTTTTGGCATTTATTGAGCATTAACTGTGTGCCTGCCGTGGTTTTAACCACCTTATGAGTATTCACTCATTGAATCTTCATAGCAAACCTATGAGGCAAATCCCATTCTTTTGGGGCTGGGGATTTGGCTCAGCGGCATAAGCGCCTGCCTTGTAAGCAGGCAGTTGTGAGTTCGATCCCCGGTACCGATACAAAGGAAAAAGACAAAAAAAAAAAAAAAATTCCATTCTTTTGTTCCTGTGTCATCAGTGAGGGACTGGTTGGACATGGTGGCACCCACCTGTAAATCCCAACATTCTGGGAGGCTGAGATAGGAGGATTCCAAGTTTGAGCGTAGCGCAGGCAACATAGTGACTTAGTGAGACTGTCTCAAATAAAAGGGGGGACATGCTGAGTATGTCATTTAGCCCAAGGCTCTTGGTTCAATCCCCAGTACCACAATAAATGGATGATGTAGGCTGCTCACACAGTCTTTCCCAAGGTCACTTAGTTCATAAAGGGTAGGGTCATACACAGGTATCTCTCACTTAACGGCCTACCTGCTTAAGGACTGGATTTGTGACCCGTGGCTCAGGCTAGTGACTGCGTTTTGTTCTGTACAGTTTGTACATCTTGTTCACAGGGCCTCAGTGTCTTTTTTTGGGTACAGTTTACTGTCATTTTTGCAGCTTATACTGGACAGTTCAGTACTGTAGTTTTATGTTTCGTTATGCATTACAGTACTGTAACAGCGATGCAAATAAACGCTAAGTCTTCAAGTTGGCGTTTCCTTTGACCTTTCTTTGCTCTGAGTATTGCATGATCTAGTTGCACAAACAGAACTCCGTCATTAAACAAGGAATATCTGGTAAACCTCCTCAGTCTTTGTTGTCCCACCTCTGTGCCTTTATCCAAAACAGATGTCATCACTGGTGCTTTATCTGTGCCTCTCTTCCAAGGCCCGACAGGTCCTGTGTGAAAAGGGGGCGGGTGTCACTATACTTAAAGTTTCCCACCATTTTGGATGGGAAAGCGCCTTCCTTTCCTTCTGCTTCTGAGTCTTTTCTCTGTCCCTCTCTTTTCCCTTTCTCTGTCTTAGGTGGTTTCTGTCTGTTTCTGTCTTGTCTCCTTTCTCTGAAGTTTGCCCCGTCTCTACGTCTGTCCTGGTTGCTGTTCACCCTGTTCTGCTTTGTCTCACTGACGATTCCTTTCTTTCTGTTCTTGATGACTCTCTCTGGTCCTCTGTTCCTCTTATCTTTGCCCGCACGTCAGATCCTCCATCCCCTGCTAGATCTTTTTTAGAGGCCCCAAAGAGAAGAGAGCATTGGGCTCTTAGCTGAGTTTAACTCTGAGTCCTCGGCCCCAGACACTCAGGTCTTGTGGTTTCCATGAGAGGTTGGGGCTGACTCTGAGGCTGCAGGCCCCTGAGGAGGACCTGCTCCCCCAGGAAGGTGGGCTGGGGCCTTGGGCAGCTAAGTAACCAGGCAGGGGTGCTCTGCAGCACCGGATCCAGGTCTTGGAGGAGCAGCTCACATCCCTGGGGGAGCAGATGGCAGCTGAGAGCCGGGGACTGAGCCAGAAGAAGGAGGAGGCCCGCCAGGCCCTGGCACAGGTGAGTCTGCCCTGAGGACCTGTCCCAAGTCCTCACCTCCCCTGGTTTCCTGCCAATCTCCCATTTCCCAGGGCCAGGAACATTGTGGGGACAGCCCGTTCAGACTTGGAGTTGAGGTAGCCATGATGTCTTCCCCTAGGAACGGAACCGGCTGCTGGAGCTTAGTCGCCTTCAGGGAACACTTGGTGGGGATCTCTCTCAGTCCAAGCAAGCTGGCACCAAGGTATGGGGATTTTGAGCACTTGTCAGACTGTCCTCTCTCAGACCCCAGGGGCCAGGCCTGGCCTTCTCCCTCAGACCCAAGGGGTTCAGGCCTGGCCTCCTCTCTCAGATCCAAGGGGTCCAGGCCTAGCCTCCTCCATTAGACCCAAGGGGTCTAGTTCCAGCCTCCTCCATCAGACACGTGGGTTCAGGCCCTAGCCCCTCTCCCCTTGGGATCTTCACCTCTGATATCTTTTATCCTTAGGACTCAAAAGTTTAGGCCCCAGCTCTTTCTTCTCAGTGAAACAATAGTTTTACCCATAACTCACTGTGGGAGATTGGATAAGTCCGACATTCTGGTCTCCATATGACCATACCTTTGTCTTTCCATCTGAGAAATGGGCTGCCTTGGAGGTTGGGTCTGAGCTTGTGGGAACTGGTGGTTTCTCTGTGGTCCTTTGTCTCCTCAATCTTGGTGTCCCCTCTCTCCAGCTCCTGTTCACCCAGAAGACAGACCGCCAGCTGGTGGTGCTACAGGACCCTGATGCCCACCCTGCAGCCACCTCTACCTCTTCCTGCCTGTTTTCCGTCCACAGCTCCCTGCAGGTACCTGCCCCCTGCCTCCATGTTTCCATGTAAGGGTGGGAGAGCTGAGGGCAGCGCGATCTACCCGGGCTCTGCCTGGGGTGGGGGAGTGGGGAAGGCTCACCAGGGAGTATTTTGGTGACTTGTTAATGTTTTTTTCCTTCGTGCCTAACACCCCTTACTCCCTGGCAAAATGGGAACATGTGCACTCAGGAGTAAATTTAATTTAATTTGTTAAGAGTAAATTTTAGACCCCAGCAATACAACAAAAACAAAACCAAGCAAACACCTGTCCGCAACCTGGGGTCCCATCTTCTTAATGGCTTACATACTCTGTGTGGGGAGGGCCCTAGAATTCTAACCCAAGGCCTCGCATGTGGAACAGTTGCTGTACTACTAGGTTACACACCAGCTGCAGTTGTTGCACGGTTTTCCTTTTTAATGAAATAAAGTAGGAAGGGCCGGGGATTTAGCGCAGCGGAATAAGCTCCTGCCTTGTAAGCGGGCAGTTGTGAGTTCAATCCCCGGTACCCAAAAAAAAAGGTGCCCTGTATGAAGTAAGGGTGGCTGTCACATGGAGAGGTCTTGTGTCTGCTGCAGAGGCCTGGAGTAAGCACCTCGACATTGGTAGCTCTCATTAAATGATATAACCTTTTTTTCCCCAAAATAGTGTGTATATTAGTTATGGGTTGGCTTATTTATTTATTTGGTACTAGAATTTGAGCCCGGGGCGTTGGCCCTAAGCTACATCTCTAGGCCATTTTCTAATTTTTTTTTTTTTTGAGACAAGCTCTTGCTACATTGTTCAGATTTAGCTTGAATTTGGGATCCTCCTGTCTCAGCCTCAGGATGCTGGGGTCATGGATGCATGCCACTGTGGCTGGCCTATTTGTGATTGGTTGATATTACTGATGCCAATTAATAATATCACCCTGCGGGGAGGGGTGCTCTACCACCAAGCTACATCCCCACCTTTAATGTTTTTTGAGACAGGGTCTTGCTAAATTGTTCTGGCTCTTGGAACTTGTGACCCTCTTGCTTCGGCTTCCTGAGTAGCTGGGATTACGGGCCTGTACTGCCGCACACGGCTGAGACAGACATTTCTGCTGCTAGGTTCTTCTGTTGGTTGCTCAGTTCCTAGGTGGAAGCCCCACACGCACACAGGTTGAGCCTGTGTCTAAGTGTCTAAGGCGTTGGCCGGAGGAAGCCCAGACTGAAGGGAGGCATGGGTGCGATCAGTTTCCCACTTCTTGGGTTTAGGGGCTTACCTGGGCCAGCTAAGTGGCAAGACAGTTGTCCCTTGGGGTCAGTGGCGGACTGGCCCCGTCTCCTCCATGAAACAATGCTGCATGTGTGCATCACCTGTGTGCATTCTCCCGTTGTGTTAAATCATTCTGAGACGGCTTGGAGTGGCTGACACAATGAGAACTCTGTGTAAACAGTCGCTATGTCAGGTTGCGTGGGGATAAGGACAGGAGAAGAGCTTGACGTGTTAGGTACAGATGCAGTTTTCTTGAATAGTTTTGGGCTGCGGTGTGTTCAGCCTGTGGGTGTGGCGCCCGAGGATACAGAGGGCTACAATACAGAGACACATAATAAGCTCTTGATGAAAAAAGAAAAGAAAAACCTCTTTTATTATTTAACATAAGTCTAGAAAATCCTTTCAAACACACGCACAGCTTTGTTATACGGAAACACCGTATCAGGACATGGAACTGGCAGCCACCCCGAAACCCAGCACACCCCTGCAAGGGGGGCAGCCCTGTCTGCCGCAGCCATTAGCCTGACTCTTGTAGTGGTGTCTTTCCTGCTTCTTTAACGTCCTCCGGGGCAGCCATCTGCCCTGTACACTGCAGTGTAACCTTCTGTGTCTGTGTCTGTGTCTCTCACACCTTCTTTAGCCTATAGACTTCCGTCCCCTCTCTTCCCTCCCTTCCCTGTGGTGGTACTGGGAATTGAATCCCCCCTGCTACCTGCCACTGAGTCACAGCCTCAGCACTTTTATTGTACTTGTATTTTGAGGCAGTGCCTTGCTAAATTGTGCAGATGGAAGTGTAACTTGCTATTGTCCTGCCTCAGCCTCCCCCAGTGCTGGAATTGCACCAACGAGCCTTACTTTGCCTCCATGTTTGTTTGTTTGCACGTTTGTTTGTGATTTGGGGAACTGAACTCAGGGCATCTGGCGTGCAGGGCAAGTACGGCTAACACTGAGCTACAGCCCAGCCCCCCACCATTTGCTTTCTTATCCCCTTTGCAATTTCTTGGTGTGGGAAACAGCTCATTGTACTGTAGACTTTACCAGTCAGGGTTTGCTGATTGCATCCTCGGGTCTCTCGTCTCTGCATTTCCCGTGTCCATGGATGTGGGGGCCTGCACAGATTTGGGTTCAGCATTTTGACAGCTCTCCTCGGGCTGGTAACTGTTGATGCTTTTTATGTGGGCTCGGTGCCTAGGCACATGGGTTCATTCATCCGAGGTTGCAAGGGTGAAATTTCAATTGTGCTGTTTCTATTTTGTTTAGTTTAGTCAGATACTTCCAAAGGGGAGACTTGCCCCCATTTTCTGTGAGCACAGGTTTTGTAGGAAGCTCAGGGGAAGCTCACTTTATTTACCTGCCTTCGAAAGAGAATTGGTTTGTTCATTTCCTCCCTAGGAAGCCAGTTTAGTTTGGTTTTTCTTTTGTAGCATCATTAACTCATGGATTAAATATATTTGAGGAGTTATGATCCTAAATAGTAGGTATCCTATGGACGCTCTAGTTATGCCACCGATTTTTGATCTTTATTATTCAAACAGAAATGTAGCTATTTTTTCTTTAAAACATGATTTCAGGGGCTGGGGATCTGGTGCAGTGGTAGAGCACAGGTGTAGTTGGTGTGAAGACTTGGCTTTGATTTCCCAGCACCATGAGGGAAAGTATTTTATTTATTTTTTGTGTATTATTGTCCTTTTCTTTTTCTTATTTTAATGTTTCATATACTTATTTGTTTGATTTTTGTGGAGTTGAACCTGGGAGCTCATGGAGAAAAGTCACTCCACCAGAGTGCTGCATCTCAGCCTTTTCTTACCTTTTATTTTAAGCTAGGGTTTAGCTAAGTTGCTCAGGCTGGTCTTGAACTTGTGATGCTTTGTCCTCAGCCTCTTAAGTAGGTGGGACTATAGACATAAACCAACAAGCTTTATTTAAAATGTAACTTTGAGGCTAAAAAGTACTTTTTTTGGTACTGAGGATCAAACTCACGACCTCATGCTTGCCTGGCAGGCCTTACACCACTGAGCTAAACCCCGCCCTTTAAAAGTGCTTTGAAATCAAAATATGCTTTATTATTCTGTCTCCATATACATAACCCCCCCACATTTATTTTTGTTTTTTCTCTTTTTTCTTTTGTTTATTATTATTATTATTTTGAGACAACATGCCCTGCTGTTTTTGTTTTCTGAAACACATATTTATCCCTACATAGCTCTACGGCTGTTACTTAAGGTCATATCATTCCTTTCTATAGCTACTAACGATCAATTTTCCAGAAACTGACATGGAGGCAATCCTGTTAACATCCAGGGTTATGCGTATTTTATAGGTTGTCCAGTGGTATGTTTTCAAACATAAACTTTTCTTCTTGTCCAGGAACACAGGTTGCTCTTGGTTATCACATTCATTTATTTCCAAAAAGCTACTGTTCCGCCTTGTTGAAACTTCAGGTGGTACGGGAGGATGCTGCCGTTGGTCCCTTTTTTCCTCCTGAAGGCAGGCCGGCCATGGTTTTCTCCAGTGTCTTCCCCGGCTGTCCTGTGTTGATACAGTTGCCGTGTGTGTTTCTCCCGATCGAGGGCCTGGTGGTTATCTTGGTGATCGCGTCCTACCCATGTGTAAAGAGCAGCGTCCTGCTGCGTGCTTCGGTGCTGGCCCCCATGCGTCAGATCCCTGGTGCATTTACTGTGCTCTGCTGGGGTGGGCTGCAGCGATTTCCAGGCCTTGGTCAGCACAGGTGGCACTGCAGGGAATAACTGTGACCCACGTCATTTTGCACGTGTCAAGTGTATTGGCCTATAGGCTAATTTACGAGGAGTGGAATTTGGGCCTCAGTGGTTTATACATTTGTCTGTCCTTTCCTTCCTTCCTTCTTTCTTTCTTTCTTTCTTTTTTTTTTTGGTTGTTAGTTTTTATGGTCCTGGAGATTGAACACAGAACTTTTGCACTGAGCTAAATTCTCAGGCTTCTTTGACTTTTTTTTTTTTGCTTTTTGAGTTAGGCTCTCACTAAGTCACTATCATCCAGGCTGGGCTCAAACTTTGGACCCTCCTTTCTCAGCCTCCCAGATTCCCGGGATTACAGGCATGCACCACCATGTCAAGGTGCATCTGTCATTTCAATTAAAAAAATCCTGGTCTGGGGTATGGCACAGTGGTAGAGCATTTGCCCAGCGTGCATGAGATCCTGCACTCAATCCTTGAACTGCAAGAAAGGAAGGAAGAAAGAAAAGGAGGAATGATGGAAGGAGGGAGAAGCCCCACTGGCCCCCCAATTGGTCTCCTCCAGCATTTAGGTAAAAAACAGTTGTACTGAGATATATTCATGTTGTCATTCAATCCATTCATTTAAAGTGCCATCTAGTTTTTCTGTCTGTCTATCTATCTATCTATCTATCTATCTATCTATCTATCTTTCTGTCATTTATCACTGGGGATGGAACCCAGGTTCTCACATATGCTAATCCAGCGCTGTACCATTGGGCTGCACCCCACCCACAGTGTATGTTCAGAGTTGTGCAAACCATCATCGCCACCAACATTAGAACATTTTATTGGTCCCAAAGTTCTCCTGCATCCTTTAGCTGTCACCCCTCAGTCCCCCCATCTCTCAGCCACTGGCCACTACTACTCTCCTTCCGGTCTCTATAGTAATAAAATATGCCCTCTCTGGACCCAGCATAAATCGTGTCATAGACCATGCAGGGCCGCTGACTGGCTTCTCCCAAACTCAGCATCACGCTGACAGGACGGTTTTGGGTCTGTGCCAGCGAGGTGGTGGCTGTAGCTGGCAGTCTCTGACTTTCCAGTGGGTGGGAACATCCCAAGTGCCTGGGTCCTGTGTGTTTCAGGGCTCCATTGGACTCCAGAGAACCGGAAGTCTAGTCAGGAAACGGGGTGAGAGGACGACCCAGAGAGGACTGGCCCGGCCTTTGTCTCTCCACTGTACTGGTGAGGACACCTCCCACCCTGCCACCTGCACCCCATTCCCCCACCTCCCTGCCACCTTCCTCGTGCTCTGTCGCTACCTGGCCTGGCACAGGATGGGGAAAATGGCACAGGCTGGGAGGGAGAAGCAGAGTGGCTTGGGTCAGGGAGTGTCCCCACCTCCTCACCTTGACCCCTTTCCCCTAGGAGCCCTTGAGGCTTCAGCTGTGACATCCGCAGTGGGGGCCTCTGGAAGACACCCCCTCTATCAGCTGCTAAACTGTGGCCCTGGCAATGGGTGAGCTGCTGGGAGAGGAAGTGGTGGAGGGAGGAGGAAGGGGAGGAGGAGCAGGTGGCGGAGGAGGAGGGGCCCAGCTTTAGGTTCTCCTGCCCTTGTTCCCTCCTCCCAGCTGCCAGGTCCTGCACCCAGACATCGCCCACATGGAGCAGCTCCTGCAGCAGGCTGTGGCCGAGAGGGAGCGGCTGCGCAAGGCCAGGGTGAGACCCCAGACCTCTTCCACCCTCTGGAGAAAAGACCTGCCCAGCTCCTCCTTTTGAAAACCAGGGATTCCAGGCCCCTTTCCCCCTTCCTCAGACTCAGGGGTCCCAGCCCAGTCTTCTTCTTTGGGATGGGGATCCAGTATACTTCTTCCCATTTCTTACGGGTTGGCAGCCCCATTAATTCCTTTATCCTAAACCCACAGGAGGGGCAGAAAAATGCCACAGAAGGCTCCTCAGGCCCAGCTGCTCCTGCCATCACGGTCAGTCCCGCCTCTGCCCTCTCCCACCCTTTTCGGTTTTTCCCCTTTTTAAATCTCACTCCTTCCTCCAGTGCAAGAGGAAAGCGCCCTGGGCTTGGGAAGCGGAAGGGACTCAGGTGCTCCGGTGCTCAGGATTAAAACCAGAGCCTCATTTGCAGCGGTGCCTCGGTTCAGGAACTTAATGCTTTCCATGATTTTGGTTGCCGTGGAAAGCATTAAGCTTGTGAGCCAAGGTACCACTGAATACCAAGCATGGAGTTTAGGAGTTTACCCGTGAGCTAAACTCCACATCCCACTTCTCAGTACCTCAGTTTCCCTTCTGTATGTCGGGGACAGTGTGGACAGGTACTAGGGAATGAGAGCAAATTTCAGAAATATTTTTATTATATTTAGAGAAGCTAAAGCAAGAGGGTTGCAAACTCTAGGTTAGGCTGGGCAGTTAGCGAGACCTTGTCACAAAATAAAAGTCACAAGGCTTGGGTGGCAGTTTAGTGGTAGAGACTTCTGCGATTCAGTCCCAGTTCCACACACAGCCATTCAAGTAGCAGAAATAAATGGATTCATAACCGCACGGTGCCCCACACAGTTCCCACAGTTTCCAGTGGTGACTCTTGTGTTATATGCCATCATCAGTTTCCTAGTCCTATACCTACATCCCCCCCACCCCGTACTGAGATTTTTAAAAGCAGAATTCCAGATAGTGCCTGCTTTTATCTGTACGTCACTGTGCTTCTCCAATAGATGCCTCTTTTTAAAATTATAACAAAATGAAAATTCCACTCACATACCTTATGAGATTAATAATTCTCTAGCATGGTAGTATATAGTATTTCCCTAACTGTCTCTCACATGTCTTTTATGGTTGGTTTATTTGAGTCTAGATGCAAACAGAACACCTATTGTGCGTTTAGTTAGTATTTAATTGTATTTTTTGGTACTGGGGGCTGAACTCAGGGCCTCACACCAGCCCGTGCATTTAGTTAAATGTCTCTGAAGTGTCTGTCTCTGTCTCTCTCCCCTCTTTGACTCTTTGCCTAGGCTGGGCTCGAATTTGTAACCTTCCCGCCTCAGCCTCCTGTATACCAGGATAATAAATATGCACCACCATGCGCAGCTTCGAATCTCTTTTAATCCCCAAGAGTCCTTTTCCCCTTGTCTTTCTTTCTTTTTTTTCTCTGGCACAGGGTCTTGCTGTGTAGCTCAGGCTGGCCTTGGACTGTACTGGGTAGCCCAGACTGGCCTGAGCTCACAGCGATCCTCCTGCGTTAGCCTCCCAAGCGCTGGGATTACAGGCATGTGTCACCATGCCTGACCCTTTCATCTTTTTTTTTAAAATATCATTTATCTGTGCAAAACATCAAGCCATTTGTCCCATAGATTTTTACATTGCGTCCCTTATTAAAATTATACTTCAGCACCGGATATGGTGGCCTTTGAATTTTTTTGTTTTATATTCTCCCATGTGCTTACAACCATTTAGACTATAGTTTGTGAGCATTTTTACTCCATTAATGAGCACATCATTCCTAACCTGCCTTTTCTTTTCTCTGCCATTGGTTCTTCTCTTGTCCGCTTCAGCCAGTACATATTGAACACCTGCTGTGGTCTGGACCCTGGGTTATGGCAGTGACCAAAAAGTAAAAAGCCACGCCCTCCAGGAAGCTGATGTTAGTGGGGATGATAGACAAAAGCAGCATCAATAAGTAAAATAAATAGCATAACAGATGCTGTAAGAGCCGGAGAGCAAGATAAAGCGGGAGGCGGCAGAGCCCGCTAGGCAGGCAGGCGCAAGCGTGACCTCATGAAAAATGAAACACTTCTGTATGGAAGCGGTCCCCTGCCTTGTGGCATCATGACTTATTAAACAGTGGCCCTCCCGTCCACTGTAGTCCTACCACCCTGCGCACGAGTGTTCTTTGCGCCTCTGGGACGCGCGGTAGGAAGCTGAATAGCTGGGCTGGCCTGAACTCACCCGTCAGCCCGAGGGTGCTGTGATACCCGTGTTTCTGGGTGGGACCGAGGCTTGCAGGGGGCAGGGGTTCTGTGGGGGTGACACAGCCAGGGAATGATGGGATTGAGAGTCCCAGACCTGTCTCCGGGCTCCTCGATTGGGGCGCAGCACTGCCATGTCCTACCTGGGTGTCCTTAGTAAGCCACTGCTTATCTGGAAGCTGCCCTTACAAGGGTTGCTTTGGAGAGACAGTGAGGCAGTCGCCATGCCCCCTGGGCCCAGTGCCTAACATACAGTGGGGACTTCCATACTGGTGATGGTTCTAGAATTGCTGCAGGAATGAGGCAAGATGCCTGTGTTAGGCTCCAGGCTCACTGGGTGGCTTGAAAGCCCAGCCCTCCCTTCCTGGGCGAGCAGGTCCTTTGGCACTGTCTCTTCCCTTCCTCACCTCTTTTGTCTCCAGCCAACATATCTCACCTATTTTTTAGCCCTTCTTGCTGTGGTCTCTTTAGGGGCTCTGAGCCACCCCTGTACTCAAAGAATGGTTGGTGGATCTACAGCATCTGTGTCCCTTCCCCACGGGAGTTTGTGCCACACAAACTCCCATCTCCTCCTGGGGAATGGCTGATTCAGTCTGCATTTGAAACAACCAAACAAACAAACTAAACCAATAGGGGAGCTCGGTTGTGATGCATGCCTGTAATCCCAGCTCTGCTGAGGCAGGAAGATCACAGGTTTGAGCCCAGCCTGAGTAATTTAAGTGAGATTTTTAAAGATTCTTAAAAAGAAAAATAATAAAAAGGGCTGGGGAAGTAGCTCAGTGTGAACTGAGGTTTGACCCTAGTAACACACACACACACACACACACACACACACAAATTCACAGGGGTTTTGCTTGCAGTAATGGGTCTGAGATGCACTGCCCTCAGATGCTGTTTGACCTTGGTGATCACATCGGGCATGCATGTATTCAGAAAGAATAGAAGTGGTCACGCCAGCTGCTGGCCATGGCTCCCCTTTCACTGGCTTAAGTCTTGTCCACTTCTCTTTATGACCACCTGTGTCCCCTGGTCTCTTGGTAATGACTGCTGGCTAGGTCAGCTTTGGCTGTGTGTCTTAGAGCTAGTGACTTAACCCTAACCCTAACCCTAACCCTAACCCATGGCTTCCACTTCTCTGTAAAATGGGTTAACATACAATCCTTCCTCCCCAGCTTGAGGGGGTAGAAAATTTACAACTAAAAGTACTTTGCAGAGATGGTAATTTCTCTTGTGATCATAGTACAGACAATAATAGTGGAAACAGTGCGCTCATGTATCAGTCGCTTACTCTTTGGTCCCAGTGTTACACAGGTGGCACTGCAGGAGGTGGGGTCACTTTGGGGAGCCTGACCCTATCCTTGGCCCCTTCTCTGATACACATCTGGGTTTCAGAATGAGCTCTGCAGTCTGGAATACCCCAGTGAGTGCTCCAGCGCTGCCACCTAGAAGCACTGTGTGATCTGGGGTGGACTTAACTTTGTGTCTCTTCCTCGGTTTGTTCGTCTGTAAAATGGGTCTCAGAGGCACCGTGCTGTGGGCAGAATCAAGGAGCTGGTGCTCACAAAGCCCTGGGAGCATTTTTCACAATGGTTCCTGGAGGCTGTAGCAGGCCCTGCCCTCCCCCATTACCTCTTTCTCTGCACCCCAGCAGGCTCCGCCCGCGCCTGTGCCCCCGCCCCCGCCCCATCCTCCCAGCCCACGAGTCCTGGATCTCCGGCAGCATCTGGAGCGCTGGGGCCACAGCCCCGAAAACTGCCCACACGTGCGAGTGTCGGGGGGCAGCTGTCGTGGACCCCTGGTGAAGATGGGCGGCCGAATCAAGACCTGGAGGAAGAGATGGTTCTGCTTTGACCGCCAGGCCCGCCGCCTGGCCTACTACGCGGGTAAGCCCATTCTGGTGCCCTGGCTCCTGGGCCCTGGGTGGCAGGAAGCCCACGCCGCATGCTTTCCCAAACCCCAGGCACCCCAGAGCCCTAGCCCCCATTTTAACCCTCCCCCAGGATCCGGGAGTCAGGACCTCTGGCTCCTTCTTTTCCTGCACCCAGGAGTGTGGGTCCAGCCCCTCTTCCCCAGGCTTCAGGCATTCAGATCCCCTGACCCCCTTTCCTTTAAGTCACCTAGAATCCAGACCCGCAGCCCTGTCAGTGACTTCAGTTTAGTACCCTTCTGGCTCCCAGACCCTCTCCCCACCCCAGAGGCCCAGGGGTGTGGACAAGCACTGCCCTCCCCGCGCCCACACCAGGAAGCCGGGACTCTGCCTCCCTCTGGAGGGGAGTGGGTGGTTTGGAGCCTCCTTGGTTGCTTTCCCTTTTTAGGGCCCTGGGATTCCTGCGAGTCCCACAACCGTCCCCAGTTTGTCCAGTCTTGCCGTCCACTCGTGTCCCAAACATGGTACTTCAGGGACCTCTGGACTGTCACCGTGTTCCTCACCACAGCCCAGGCTCAGGTCTTGGGCCCAATGACCTGGGCCTGAGACAGACATACAGACTGACAGACACCCACCTCTCACTGTGTATCTCCCTCGCCTGCCTCCTCTAGACAATGAGCAGACCAAGCTCAAAGGCGTCATCTACTTCCAGGCCATTGAGGAAGTCTACTATGACCACTTGCGATGTGCCTTCAAGGTGAGCTCTCTGCACAGGGCCACCTGCCCTCTGGGGGCGGGTGGGGAGCCCTTGCAATCAGGCCTTGTCTTTAGCTCATCCTGAGAAAGTGCCTCACACCCAGTACTGCCAAGGTCTTGCTGTCCAGCACAGGAGACCAAAATGCAGGCACTGCACGGACCAAAATGAAGAGCTCCAACCCTGCCTCTCAGTCGCTATTAATTGTCTTGAACAAAAACATCTGAAATCAAAATTTAGTAAACTCGGCTTGGGGTGTAGGGCAGCAGCAGTGTATGCGCTTGGCACGTGGAGGTCCTGGGTTCAATCTCCAGCACTAGGAGGGGAGAGGTGCTGGGCTAGGAATAAGTGGGAGCATCTACATGAAACTTATTACTCAGCTTTTGCCCACAGTTACCAAATGAGAATGAGTCCCGTGGTCAGAAATTTATTTTTCCTTTATCAAAAGGCAGAAATTTAAATGTTGGCAAGAGATACAATGTTGAGCATGCTCTGTAGAAAGGGACTAGCCATGGCTTTTTAAAGTTTAAATTGGAATCCCAGCTGAGTGACATCAGGGAAGTGACTTTTCTCCAGCCTTAGTTTTCTCATCTGCAAAATGGGCATATTTTCACCCATTATCTCAGAGTTAAAAACATAATGGATGTAAGAGATTGGGGATTTGGCAAGGAAGTATTCATTTAATGGTTTCTACATGCTGACTTTCACCAGTTACAAACCAGAGGGATTCGGAGTTTTGGGGGAGGTGGAATTTTTAAAAATACGTTTTTATCAGTGTCACTGGGCAAGGTGATGCATGTGTGTAATCCAAGAGCACTTGGGAGGCTAAAGCAGGAGAATCACTGCAAGTTTGAGGCCAGCCTGGGCTACATGGTGAGTTCAAGGCCAACCTGAACTGCATAGTGAGACCCTGTGTCAAAAAAAAACCCACCTGGCTTTCAATTGGTATTCTCTTAAATGTTATATACATATTTCGATTGTATCCATCCCCCCATTAATCTCCTTATACTTCCCACCCTCCTCTGTTATTCCCTTTTTTGTGTCTAATAATAGTGAGGTGCCATTTAAATGCCTGTATTTCTATTACAGAATGAGAATGCCTGTATTTCTAAGAAAGTAAGGCTGTGAGGAGGGGACATCGGTTGGTCCTCTTGTTGAATTCCTTTGATTCCCAGTTTAATAGCGCTCTATTGTAGCCTTCTCTTGTATTAATTCAGGTAATCCTCTTAGCCCAGTGAGGTAGGTAGCGCCATTTAGGAAGACAGATGAGGAAACCTAAATTCAAAGTACTAATTCAAAGCACTGTTACTCAACCTGTAAACAGCTAGACCAGATTCGAGGCCAGGGTGTGACTGGCGTGGCCCCCTAACCACCTTCTTCTCTGTTTATTCCAGAGCCCCAACCCCCGCCTGACATTCTGCGTCAAAACCTATGAACGCCTTTTCTACATGGTGGCCCCGAGCCCTGAAGCCATGTGCATTTGGATAGACGTCATTGTGACTGCGGCTGATGAAAACCACGCCCCCTGAGTGGCCCTGCCTCTGGGGGACGTCCCGGAGAGGCCACGCCCACCCGCGGAGCTTTCTAGGCCCCGCCCACTTCCGGATAAACCTGCACCCGCCCCTTTAGAACTCCCCCGGGATCCTGCAGCCTGCTGCAGCTCAGCTGGTCTGAGCTACCGCACATACCCAGCTGCAGGTCCCCCCACACACAGGATCGCACTGCGTGGGGCAGGAGGAAGATTGCGGGATGGGCTGGGGGTTGGAACTATTTATTGGTGTTCCTGTGATACCGAATTAAACACGGTGGAAAACCGGATTCTTTACAGCCTTTCCAGCCGAGGTGTGTCCGGGTGCCCGGGCGGGGAGGGAGCGGCTGGGCCCCTAGACCAGAGGTCTGAACTAAGGGGGTCCCTAAGAGCTACAGGTTCTACAGCTGTTTCTTTTTTTTTCTGCTCTTAAATTTGTTGAGAAGCTGTTTCTATCTGTAGGAATGAAGATCTTCGGTATTAAGATCACGACCTGGAAAGGAGTATGGGGGACATGCCCTTCGTGTTTTGATTTTTTTCTTTTTAGTGACCTGACTGGACTGTAGGCAATTTCTCTGAACTCCTGGGTGCCCTCCCTGCAGACATTCGGGGTGTTTTTCCTTCTGCCCTTCCCTTTCTTTAACCAGCTAGTTCTCATTCTTAGTTCATATGCTCCTTCCTTCAGGAAGTCTTCCTGGACACTCCTAGCTGGGTCAGGCACCTCTTTTGGAGCTCCCCCAGCCTATCCCTGAGCAACTTGGCTTATTTTTGTTGATAGGTCTGCGTGCCTTGAAGACCGGATAGTGACCACCAGGACAGCCAGGGTTCCTCTGGTGATCTCTGAGCCGCCAGCACTATAGGGCAAGTCTCATCCTGCAAAAGTGAAAAAGAAAGAAAAAGCGTCCTTGTCCCCTCTGGGTTTTTTAAAATGCCTTTCGTTTAGGTGCTTCTGCACACTCCTACACATCCCATTTAAAACCTCTGCTCTGAGTTAGTATATTTCCTTCTCCAGGAAGCCCTCCCTGATTATCCTAGCTGAGTCAGGCGCTTCATGTGGGCTGCCCATTCCAGCCCTGGGCGCTCTGCCTGAGTCTCCCCATCACAGCCCACTGACAGTATCCTGAGTGTGTCCCATCGTGGCCTTCACTGCCCTGGGCCATCACTGCTGCTGAGTGTGCCTCTGCCTCTCTCCTGGGCCCAGCTGATGGGTCTGTTCCTCCCTTTGGACTGGGAGCTCCAGGAGGTGACAACTGGGGTTGTCTCTAATGAGGCCTTGGAACACAGCAGAGGGCTCAGCAAGTGCAGTGTAGGGACTGCGGGAATGTCAGACTGTTGAATAGTTAGCAAGGAACTGATGCTAAAGATGGGAGCTGGCGGTGAAGCAGGCAGACCTAGAGCTCCTTGGCTGGCTTCACCTTGGAGGCCTCATCTAGAGTATTCCCCCTTGGGGGAAACTTTCCCTGGCTCCCAGGCTGGAGCAGGTACCTCCTATTCTGGCTGTCACTGTCCCTGGGTCTTTCCTGAGCAATCTTGGCTGTTCTGGAAACAGCTCTTTCCTCTCCCTCATCCCAAAAGTTCCCTCAAAGATGCAGGTCTAGTGCTCCTGAGTCCTAGAATGCAGACAGTCCCCAGCTCCTCTGGGACCCCAGCCGTCCCTTGGCTTTCACTGCCATCCCTCATCCAGGTGTGACTTCTGGATCTCGAGTCAGTCATGCCCCAGTCCCTCTGCAAAGCGCGCCTCCTACTGGGCCAGCTGCACAGGCCTGTAATGGGGATAGTCAGCAGCTCCCTCGCTCAGGAGAGCCCTGCCCTTGGGGTGTAGTACTGGGAATTGAACCCAGGATCTCCATACCGAGCTACACTCCCAACAATTTTAACTTTTTTTTTTTTTTTTGAGACAGGATCTTGCCAGGTTGACAAACTGGCCAGGCAGGGCACGAATGTTCCATAATCCTCCTGCCTTAGCCTCGAAGAGTGCTGGGATTGTGTGCACTCTGGGAGTGTGTGCCACCATACCGGGCTTGGAGAGTCTTAGTTTTATGTTTGAATCTGTGTCAATTGTGACAGGGGAGTGGAGCCTTAGGTCACTCGTGGTCCTTCACCACTGCCTCGCCCCTCCCTGGGACAGATTATGTTTCCCTTTCCCTTCCTGTCTCTTTCTTTCTTTTGGTTTTTTGAGACAGGATCACACTATGTAGTTCAGTCTGGCCTTGAACTTCCTTATGTATCCCATGCCTTCCAATCACAACAATCCTCCTGCCTCAGCTTCTTGAATGCTGGGATTACTGGTATACGCCAATTCATCCAGCTATGTTCTCATAATTTTATTTTGCAGTGCACTCCCAAAATTATGTAGCCAGTCAGGCCCACCTCACCCCTGATGTGTCCCAGCCAGTGTGTTCCAGAGCGCGTGGCTCTGAAGTCACAGCCTGGTCTGCTCCAGCCTGGAGATGGCCCTGGGCTTGTCTGAGGCCCAGGCTTGAGCTCCGGGCACTGCTGGATGCCTCCACTGTTCAGCCTCTTGGGAACCAAATTCGAGACTCTCCTGGCAGCCCAGACTGCAGAGGGACTCTGAAAGAGACTGGGCAGGCAACAGCCGTAAATGGAGGCTATGTGTTCAAAACTCCCCTGGCCTCTGGTCCTGGGCCAGGTGTGGTCAGCAGCCTAGAATCCGGGCAGGCCCGAGCAGGAGGAGGCTCCCTCCCTGGCCCCACTCCCTCCCAAGACGCTAGTTCTTCAGGTCAGGCCAGTTGTGGTTCCTCCCTGAAACTCTCCCACGCTGTTGGGGCCCAGGGGCTGGCAGGGCCTCCTGCTCCCAAGCACACAATGACAGTATTATCACTTTGCCTGCCCTTTCCCTGGGCCTTCCTTCAGTCTCTAAAGGATGTAGGGATTTTGAGATCTAGCTTCCAAAGGAGGCAGCTGAGGATCAGAGAGAGAGAGAGAGAGAGACTGATTTAGAGTCAGGATTCAAATTTCGGCTTGTCCCATTCCAGACTTTCCCGCTTCTCCACAGTTCAAGTCCCCTGCCTCACTGCATCATGAAAGACAGCCCTCCTCCCCTCATGAAAAAAGGATACCCCAAAGCCTCAGAAAGGTGAAGACACTTATGCAAGGTCACACAGTTAACCAGAAGTGGAGCCGGGGTTCCAAGGCTGGGAGGCAGGGACCAGGGCCGAATGACCTCACTGGAAGTCACCCACTTTCTCTGAGCCACTGCAGGATACCAGAGAACCCCACCTATGTGACTACGTGGTATTTGTCATTGCCGGGAAGCGGGCCTCTGACAGGGTCCGGGGGCCACATATGTTTCTGAACATGGCCACCATTTTTCCTGGTGTCAGCCAGCCAGCCGGCCGGCCAGGTGGCACTGGTGTGGGTGCTTCCCTTGCTGTGTGACATTGATCACCCATCTTCCTCTCTGGGCTTTGGTTTCCTTCTGTGTGAAAGGGTGCTCCTCTCCCCCGCTGCATTGGGAATTCAAGGAGAGGTTGCTTGGAAGTGCCTTGTCTGCTTTAAAGCTGGGGTTCAAGATATAGGCGCTGACAATAACTACTCAGGATAATAATGGGTCTAACTGCCGTTAAGTTAGCAGTACAAATAACGCAGCATGGATTCCTGCTTGCAGCATTTCATGTAGAGTTGACGCCAATCCCACAGCTTTCTTATGAGGTGGGTCCTGTTAGGATCTCCCGTTGACAGAGGGGGACACTGAGGCATGCCCAAGTGAGTGTCAAAGTTTCACAGCTGGTAACAGTGTATCCAAACATCTATCGGTGGGTTTTCTATTTTTGCTTGCTTGTTGGTTTTGAGGTTTTTTGGCCGGGGGCCTGGGAGTCAAACGCAGGACCTCAAACTTTCCAGGCAGGCATGCGCTGTGCCCCTGAGCTATATCCCTAGCCCTTTATCTGTTGGTTCTTAAACCAGACTGCCTGGGTTTGGCCCTAGCCCTACCTGTGTGACCCTGGGTAAGTTGTTCGACCTCTCTTTTCCTCGATTTCCCCACTTGTAAATTGACTCTCCTTAAAATCTCCCACAGGGTCATTGGGTGCAAAGGCTGTGAAAGGGCTCCTGGAGCAGGGAAGGCTGAGTAAGAATGCTTTTGGTCATTGTTTCTGTCCACAGAGGAGGACTCCAAACATCAAGGAAGGGGAGCCCACAGCCACACAGCAAAGCACCGGCAGAGTTGGGACTCACACCTAAGTCTGGCTGGCTCCAAAACTGAGGAGCATTGCAAAATATCATCTTAGGTTTAAGTTCAGGGTCTTACCCTAATAAACAGTAGTGGAGGTCTTTGGAGAAGCCCTGGATTCAGAGCCACTTGTAAGCCTCTCCCAACCTCAGTTTCCTCATCTGCGAAATGGGGCAAAGTCCTCTGTTTGCAGAGCTGTCATGCTGGTCAGAAAGTGCCAAGCACAGAGTAGATGCTCAGTGTATGATTGTAGACTCACTGTAAAGGTGAGGATTAAGTGAGATCCTGTGTGTAGAAATGTTTCTGGTAGACAGCAAATATTAGATACTAGGTCATTGTTATTACTGTTACAATGTGCTTTCCAGCTGTCCAAGATGCTCTTTTCCACTGCTTCTTTCCTCCTTTAATTTTTTTTCAGTACATTACTGGGAGCTGAGCTCAGGACTAAGCTTGGGGTCTTCACACTGAGCTGCATCCCCAGTCCTTTATTCTTTTGGCTGTGAGACCAGCCCTTGTGAAGTCACTAATTGCCAAGGCTGGACTCGAACTTGTGATCCTCCTGCCTCAGCTTCCTAGTGTGCTAGCATCATATGTTTTTGCCGTCATGCCTGGCTTTCTCTCTCTTTTGATCTCTGTTATCCCTGTCCATCTTCTTCCTAAAATATTTTGGCTCCTTTTGTTACTGTACTAGGCCAAGTAATACCATCTCTTGCCTCACCAAGTTCTCTACCAGGAAAACATTTGTGGTGGAGCAGGCCGGCTTCTTGCTCTGGGAGTGAGGGAGAACACATACCATGGAGCCCCACGAGGTGTCCAGTGAAAGAGCACCAAAAAGGATTTATTTTAAAATCTGGACATAAGTGTGGTTTTGAAGGCAAGTCCAGAATTTGGGTTTCACTCTAGATTGGCTACTGTCACCAAGAAGGGGTCATGCTAGGATTGGTTATTTGTATAAATCTTATTTATGAGGCAAGAGAACCAAATCAAAATTAGTCATAATTTATATTAATATAATAATATAAACAGTCACTTAGATTAGCCAAAATATGGGCTGTTTAGTCATTTTGTGGTTTGCATAGTGGTCTCGTTTCTGTGTTTAGACACAGT